ATATATATATATTGGAAAAGATTAACTTCTCATAAATGTGGTTCTAAAAAGAAAAATATATAATAAATAGATGATATGCTTTTGAATAATATCTATAATTCCCTTATTATATAGTAAATGATATTTATATCAAGTGCGCCTAACATCACTAAGTACTTTGATTTTACCATGTAACTAAAGTCTCATGCACGACCATGTAGTTACGATAATTTGGTCGTTGGAACAATTGAAATGGTACTAACTTTTCTAGAGGAGGAGAAACGGGTCCAATTTTCACTTGTAGATAGGGAAAAAAAAAAGTAATTAAAAAACAAAGAAAATGGAATTTCCATGTAGATAGTTAAGTGAAACAATCAGAAAACCTGATTAGAGAAAGCATAAGCTAGAGCCTTTTCACGCTTCAAAGCAGCTTCCTTTCTACTCTGCAGCTTGGCTTCAATCTCCTCGCTTGTTTGCGGGCAATCATCCCGGTCATATTCCACACAACGGCTTGTCTCTCTTGACTATGAACCACACAATCAATAAGGCTATATGTATATATATATATATATAGAAATATATTAATCAAACTAATATATTTTGTGTTAATTAATTAGGTTGCTTACTAGTGACACTCTTCTGTTGCGAATATCGTGAAGATATGCTGAATCGCATAAGGTGTTGACTTCAGCAAGCATCGACTTCCTTCTACCTTCAAGTGAAAGCCTGGCTCGTTGATGGCTTACACGATCTTGTACTCGAACCAGTGCTTGCATGCATTTCAGTGTTAGCTTCGCCTGCTTTCTCATGTTCTGTCCTCTTACTAACGCTTGGAGTTTCACAATCCCTTTTAGCGCACGTAGAGCCCTCCTTGCCTTCAATATTATTAAAGCTCAAATCACATAAAGGCTTGAAAACAAAAACAAAAACAAAAAAAAAAAAAACAACAACGGTATGGTTTAAAAGATATTTGGGTGTGTATGTGGTAGGTCTAATTAGTAACGCCAAATTAGTGATTGTATAGTATTAATCGAACAACAAAAATCTGCCATTAAAAAATACAAAAAAAAAAAGGAGACGCAATTGGTTAGTGTTAGTAAGGTTAGGCGAGAAGTCATACTAAACGTCAAATCATATCAGAATGATAAAAATTTGCAATTAAAAACTAAAATACAAAAGAATAAATTAAACAGTAGGTACGTCAAAATCAAATCAGAATCAAACAATTAAAGTCCGACAATTCATTAATATTTACTATTCGCCACTGATAGTAAGGTTTTGTTTTACCTTATACAACAAAGATCCCTTTAAATAACACAAGCTTTTCCTCTATTTTTTTTTTCCTTTTTTAATTTGTGACTTTGGAGTCTAGTACTAGGTACTTTTTGATAGAACTCACCAAGTATCCTCTAAAGGCGGTTTGAATGACTACAACAGCATACTGTTGTCTTACAAAATTGGAAGCTGGCCTAGTGAGCCGAGCTATCTCCACCGCAGCTTGGGCAGTGACCGCGGCAGCTTCCGCAGCTGCCGCCACAGCAATTGCATGCCTTTGCTGATCCGCAGCCACCATATATACACGACTTATATCTTTGGTTTCTACGTGATCATCATGATCATTTGTGCTGCTTGTTTTCGGTTCACATTGCTGAACATGAACAACAGGCCTTCGGAAAAGCCATCTTCTTTTTTCTCTCTTCTGCAGCACAAATCCAAAAATATATAAATAAATTTACAAGATTGTTTACGGTCAAGATGAAGATAGAAAAATGTAATGGTTCATTATATGTTATATTACTATTATACATACATATATATATATATATATCTGTGTATATTGTTACCTTTGCTTCATCTTCTTGTTCATGATTCTCGTCTCTCCTTCTGCAACTCTTTTTCTCGCTATCCTTTGTCGGAGACCTAAACGCCTTTTTCACCACTGTCAACCAAGAAGTAGTGCCACTTTTCTTCGCCATGGAATTTGTTGGTCTGTCATCAAACTTTACTTGGATGAAATAGGAGAAACATGGGAAAGATAAATATATATTGCTTCACTATTTTATTACTGTAACTGATGAAAGAATTGAATAAAGAGAAAAAAAAGGGAGAGAGAGATGAAAAATCTGTGTTGTTTTGTTGCTATGAAAAATGAGCATATGAGCTCAAGTTGGCTCCAATATAACTGCGAAAGCAAAGCATGCGAAATAACTAATGGGGTGGTGTCAGGGCATCGAGAAAAACTATGCAAATAATGTTGCAATAATGGACACAACAAGGACAGAGATAAAGAGAGAGAGATGGGGAAATTTTAATGTGTCACAAGAATCCAAAGAAACAGTAAAATGTAGCAGAGCTTTTTCATTAATCTGGGATTCATTTTCTCCTTTATATGACACTGACGAATTCTTATGGCTTCACGTGTTATGAACAGCTAAACGACGAGAGAGAGAGAGAGAGAGACGAGAGCGAGAGGAGAGAGGAGGACAGAGTCTTTGCCCTTGTACTTGATGATGGCCATAGAAGATATAAGGAGCGCGCGACAAGCTTATGCACACACTGTGGGCTCGTTCACTTCGCGAATTTGAGTTCTCAATTCGAGTTGAGATGTGATATTTTTTGAGAATTTTTTACTGTAAATACCTAAAATTAAAAACTTAAATCAGTAAAATGAACGAGGCCTATATACATACAAGTGTATATTTTTATTGGAGAAATGCATGGACCACCCTTTCCGTCATTCTCTATATTTGTAGATTCCATTATAATAATATATTATTATTTAAATAAAAAATAATATAATATAATTAAGTGTTAAATAGTAAATACAGACTAATACTTTTCTTTTTATTAATATATAGTAATATATTAAATAACTATATGTAAATATAACGAGCGCGTTTAGAATTTATTTTAAAATAATTTTATTTTTTGTATAAAAATAAAAATGAATATATTTTTAATCTCATATATAAATTATTTTTAAAAATATGTAATTTTATTAAAAGATTTTTTTTAATATAAAAAACTCATTGATATCTTTCTCTGCTTGATAGAGGAAAAATGAAAATAAAAAATAAAAAAATGACTAAAAGTCATTTTTTATTTTTTTCTCATTTTACACTAAATTAAAAAATTATTTTTATTTCTATTTTTTTATTTTTATTACGCCGAATACCGTTTTAAAAATATTTTTATTTTTTTCTCAAAAAAACATAAAAAAATAAAAGCAGAATCAATTTTAAACACCGTTAATATGTTTTTACAGTTCTACCAAGTCCTCGAAAACCACAAAAGTAACTGACGCAGCTAGTTGGATGTGGAATCCCACTTTTGGGTAAAAGGAACCTAACAGAGTTTGGCTTCATTTTCCCAGTAAGCTGGTCAAACCAGTTTGATTCCTCTCCTTTTTCACTTTTCGATTTTTGTTCTTACATAGAAGGGAAATTCATGTCCCTTCAAAGAAAAAAAGGGGAAATTCATGTCGATTAATATACACATATCCTACGTTACATGTTTATTGACATGATATACCATCTGAACACGAGTCAATTTTTCAGTAAATAACCAATAAAAAAATAGAAATAGTATTTTATTAAATGAAGATAATAGTTATACATTTCAATTGATGAGGGTTTATATTTTCTTATAAAATGAAGGAATAACAATATATTTTAATTATTCTGTCAAGACATCGTTGTAGTTTTTAGTTGTCAAATAAGAGAAAAAAAAATTCTAAAAACTTTTGTCAAACAAAAAATAAATAAATAAAAATTCCACACTCACAATAATATGTAGTTCTGCCCTTGGGCTGAACGACACCTAACGTGTTTTTAATTTTGAATTTTGTTCTTTTAATCTTTTATGTATGCTTTATTGAAATTTATGGGTTACGCTCTTAAAATACAAAATCATGTTTATGTCCGCACTCTTGTAAAATTTAAAATTATATTTTCACTCATCTCACTTATTTTTCTAATTTCACCCTAATTCCGTCACTCGTGTTTTAGATTTTTAAAATTGCCATCTATTTTGAGGTTATTAATCTTATATCAACTTATCAAGAAATCTAATTTTGTACAAATGCATATATGAAAAATCAGTCAATGCACGATTTAGAGTATGAAATTGACCAAAATATCCTTAGAAAAAAAAAGATTATTAGTACTAGTGTCTCCTGAATTTTAGCGTCATTTTCAATTTACTTTTTATAATTTAGTCCCTTTAGCTTTAATTTATGTTAAAAATAAATAAAAAAAGATTAATGACAGTCACGTGATATTTCTGTTTGAATTTTTGTTAAAAATAAATAGATAAAAATCATATTGTCACACTTAATATCTTCTTTTTTGTCTAATTTTAATAAAAATTCTTAAAAAAATGGTTTAAATGAGACAAATTTAAAATTTATAGACATGTGAGAGTTTTTAAAATTTAAAGAGTAAATTGAGAATGACCTCAAAATACATTGGGCACAAGTGAGATTAATAAAAAAAAAATGAAAAACAAAACAAAAGCTAAAAAAAAAATTTCCAAAGTCAATTTTCTTTTTCTAATAATATATATATATATTTACAAACAATAGCCATCCCAAGAAAAACAAAGAGAAATAGTAAAAAATAAGTCAATATGAAAAGTTTAAGAAAGTATATAGTTCAATTTTTAGTTATAGAAATTAATATGCCATAACTTGTCAAGTTATGATTCATAACCAGGTAAGTTATGGATAAACTTGTCAAGTTATGGTTCATAGCCAGACAAGTTATGGACAATTATGGACAATAACTTGTCAAATTATGGTTCATAACCAGATTAGTTATGGACGAAAATAATAATTTGGTATATTTATTAACTTATGTAAACTATTAGCCTATTAATTTTAATTCATCTCAAATCTTGATTTATTTCCCTCTTTCTCTCAAAAACAAATCCTCCCACCCGAGCCCCATCCCAAAACCCATGCCACTTTCGTTTTTATCCTTTTGAGTAAAGGTTAAAATGTCAAAGACGGCATAATCCCGGCCGGCGAACAAAACAAGTGGTGGCGGTGACCACATAACAAACGGCAGATATGTTGCCGTCTTGGGAGGAGGATAGTGCCCATATAACAAGCGCCATAGATTTATGTCACAATCAGATTAATAATATGCTATTTTTTACTCGGATTCAAAGTGTTGTTTTCTTTTAGGCTATTTACATAAATACTTATTATGAGTACTTAAATTTAAAAAATGCCTATTTTTTTTTATTTATTTTGCAAGAATCTCTAATGAGAAAAAGGAAATAATTAAAGTAAACGTCATAATAGGCAAGAAAACATAAACAGAATCTTAAAATACAAAAAGTCAACTTTTGTATACATTTAATGAGGAAGGAAAAAATCTGCATTTAATAAAATGTAAATATTTTAAGGGAAGGGAAAATTACTTTATTGGCAAAAAAAAAACCACTGATTGATTCTTAAAACCAGTGGCTCTTTAAAACTTACCAAAAAAGAAAAAAAAAAGAAAAAAAACAGAGAGCTAAACCCTAAAACTCTACGACAAACAAAAAATCCTCAAAAAAACCATCCTAAAAAACTCTATCAAATAAAAAAATAATCGTCATTATGAAAATGAATATCAAAATTAAAATACATATAAAATACGAGAAAATATATCATACAAAATATAGATATTTTTCATTGTTTCAACAACGAAATCATCACGAGCCAGAATACATGCTCCTCTATTGCACCAAAAAGGTATTAAAAACTCTATGAAATGAAAAATAGTCATCATTATGAAAGTGAATATAACGATAAAATCATTATGAGACAGAATACACCCGCCTCCATTGCACAAAAAAAAAATAATAATAAATAAAAACTCTGTCAAATAAAAAAAACGAAAATGAATACCAAAGTAAAATTATATATGAAAAACGGGAATATATATGATATAAAGAATAGATACTTTCCATTAAATGGGAGGAATGAAAACATAATAAGATGGAATACATCCGCTTTTATTGAATAACAACTCATCATTATAAAAATGAATATCAAAAGTAAATTACACATGAGACACAAAAATATACCAAAAAATAAAAACTATTTTTATTAATTTAATAATAAGATCATTATGATACAGAATATGTGACAAATAATTATGACACTGAATAAGTGAAATGAAACCTATTTTCATTAACACAAAAGACAAAAACATGAACACATTCGAAATGGTTTAAAAAAAACAAAAACAACAGCAAAAAAACAAAAAAAAAATCTCATTTCTTCAATTATAAGATTAGAAGAAATTAGAATAATAAAAAAAGAAGAATACATATATATGAACGAAAAATATGCAAATAGAATAAAATAGCAAAGTAGGCATTCAAAACACCGTCAGTATAAACCAACAACAATATATAAACAAAAGAAAGGGAAAATGATGATTAGAGACAAAGACACACCGAACCTGCCCTTATGGAACAAACCACACATTTCTTTTGTCGGATCTCCAGAAAAAAATGAACGTCCGAAATAATGACTTTAGGCAACAAATCAAACCTTTTGTTTGTGTGATGTCCCAAAAGAATAACGTCAATGAAGGAAGATATCGTAGAAAACTAAAAAAACGTGAAGAAAAAGACACACCACCGAATTCAAAAATTGAAAAAAAGGGGATAAGCATATAGCGAGAAAAAAAATATCCGCTAAAAAAGGAAAGAAAAGTCTATTTATAATAATAAAAATCAGACTATAAAGAAAAAAATACTGTCCATATCCGTAACATGCTAAAAAATACTTAAGAAGGGCAAATCTGAAAAAAAAAAAAAAAAAAAAAAACTTATAAAACTAAAATCAAATAATGAATAATAGTCTATATTTTAAAAAATAAAGGTTTAAAAATAGGCTTTTTTTTTTTTTTTTTCTTGATCAAATTGAAAGCATAGAAGTAGAATTACGTCGGCCTAATGCTACCTTGGGCAGAAAAGGCTAGACTACACTGTAGAGCTATCCTTACTTTACCTGCCTGACTGCTGAAAAGAGGCCTGGCCTTGATCTGAATATTATACTCGTAAGCCCTTTATAATGAAAAAAATAGAGAATTTATTTTTAAAAATACATATTTTTTATTAGTGTAATTATTTAATTAAAAAGATTATATATTAAGAGTAAAAAATAAAAATTTTAATTCATATATTTTTAAAGAATATTTATTAAGATGATCTCTTTATAATTGTTGCAATCTACTAAACTGGGCCATTCAAAGTTGATGCAAATGTTCAAGACCTGAGTTTATATATCGTTCCCCAAACTAAAGAATGAAGTAAATAACACTTTATAGAAAATAATTGAAGTAGATAATAAATTTTAAAACTATTTAAAGTAAAAATGTTTCATTTATGATTAAAAAAAATATGTTATTTACAATTAGATTTTTTATTTTAAATAGTTCTAAAATATACTACTTACTTAATTTTATTTATTATAATTTCCGGAAACGAATATTACATTTCATCTTTGAAAGAAAACGTTAGTTCCAATTTTTGAAGAACCTTAATTGAATAGTCAAATTAGAGGTGGGGGAAAGAATCCCACGGCTCATTTTGATAATTGGCATTTGGAGTTTTTGGTGACCATTGTTATATATAATTTTCGGAAGACAAATGCCATGAAAAAAAAATAGAAACAAGAAGTTTGCAAAACATTAACCATGGAACCTTTTCTTAAGAATTATTCTTGGACAACCACCATTGCGGTAATATGATAATGAAGGACGATCTCTAAGGATCAATATATATTGTTCATAGTGAGGTTGAAATTATGTCTCTTATTGACATGTCGAATATAATTTTAATTGAGATAACTTTATACTCTCCAGATGCTAGGAGGTGACGAAGTTATACAAGATAATGTCAGAGGTATTATTTCCCACTTGACGCCCATAAGAAGCCGTCTCATGTTCTTTTTCGTTTCACACGTAGTTTTAGTAGATTGTCTAAATGATAATTGGAGTGAGAATGTGACGATATCTTTTTAAATAGCTAAAAAACGTCTTAACCAACTAGATACTTAATACATTTAAAATCTCCAAATGTCTCACTATATTATTCTTAAACAAGATTGACCCTCAATAATTGCAGTATCTACGACCATCTTTAATTTGAAAGTTCTGCTTTTGCTATATTCAGCTTGTTATAGTATCAAAATGCTAAATTTAGAATACCATTTTTATGTTGTACTCCAATGCTATACATTCGTGTCCTAACTTGTATCAAATCCCACTTTGGGAACGTTTAAAATGTCCCAAAACTGGTTTATTTTGTTATTGTAAAGTTAGTCCCCTTAGCTAACCGCTAAAAATGACAGAAAATAGTAGATGATTCATGGGTGGTTGGCATTTGAATTATTGAAGTGGCTTGCAAATACCCTTAAAGCCTTATCGCACGTTACTAGATAAATAAAACATAAAAAACTAAATATAAACACCATACCAAATGCTTCTTCATTTAGTTAATCCCGCCTTAAAAGCCATCAAAATGTCTAATTTACCTTCACTTAAATGGCACATGGCTAGCACGTGATTTATTCATTTGGGGTCGGTTTTTGAACATTTTCTACATCATGAAACAAAGTAAGAGTTGATGTTTAGTTCGGGGATAATTTAAGGATTAATCTTTCAATTTTTTTACCAATTTGTTTATCCAAATATTAAGATTCTCACAATTATCATTTGATTTGTTAACGTAATGTTAAAAATTTCACCATGAGACTATATGAAGTTTGTGAGCCGCTGGTTTTCGGATCATGATTGTTAGTCAAACGAGTTTTGCAAATTTATCATCTTGTTTGGATTTGAATAATTTGCCTCGCTTTTCCACCGTGTGTTTCCTGTATTTTTCTCTACTTTTCTTTGACGGGGGTGAAAAGAAAGTAGTGTATGAAACAATCTCTCGGCATTGGAGTATGCCCTTAAGTTCAAAGGGCTTTTGAAATTTTTCCATATGAAATGGACATCTATTTGTTAAGTAGAGATCAGCTGACGCCTCAGAAGACCAAATAGCAGAAGACAATGATGTCTCATGTTGTACAAAATGATAAGAGAATCTTCATAAAAAGATAGTGGAAACTTGAAACAATATTCAAACAACACTAACAATGATGGATGCCAATAATCTCCAATCACCCAATGCAATTATGCAAGGCCCATTTTAGAGTCTTAAAAAAATGTGTTAAAGATTTGTGATTTTCCTTCATTATCTTTTCTCATAATACATAAGGCAAGATGATCAATAACGCAATTATGGAAATTTAAAATGTGCTCAAATTCATGTGCTCCCTCGCATTTCATTAGAACTTGAGACCTTTTACCCATGAACATTACATCAGTATAAGGACCAAGCGATGGGATCATATGTGGAATCACCGTTAAACTATGTCTACTACTACAAAATTATGCATTTTAAGTTCTGCCCATTTGTATAAATTGACAATGTAGCAGTTCTTCAACAAAAATTTCCTCATTCATAAACCACTTCCCATTTCCCCTCACAAGTAATTAACTTAAACCAGCTTCAATAAGCAACTTTCCAAGCACCCCCTTAATTATTGAACCAATTACAACATTCTTCTTATAATACAAGATGAGGCACAAATCATACATCTTACTTATAATACCAGACAAAACAGAGCTGGAAGATGTAGAATCGTTGATGATCATCAGCTACAGATGGGGCAAAGCACCAAGCCATTCTCATTACAATCCGGGCATCTCGAAACCACACTTGTTTCCGCATCTTCAGCCCTCACAATCACCTTGCAACTCCCGTTGCACTGAAAACACGGCAAGAATCTAACGTCCCCGCAACCATCACAAACCGACCCAGATTTTCTCTTCGGCAAATCTTCCAAAATCTCTCCCAAAAGCCCCTCCTCGGCGAATCTCAGAACCTCCTCGGCCCCACCCACGTACCTCCCCTTAACGAAAACCCGCGGAGGAACAACGGCCGTTTCTTTCAACAACTCCCTCAATTCCTCTCTGAAGCCCCGGTCCATCGAAACGTCCCTCTCGCAGATCGCCACGCCAAAGCCCTCGATCGCCGCCCTGACGGCGTTGCAGGCCTCGAACGTCCTCCGAACGCCTCGAAGCGTCGTCGTATAGACGACCACCCGGTTCTCCCCGCCCGGCGGGCAAATCCGCTCGAAACGGTCGAGGGGATTGCCCACACTAGCCTTTGGTTTCGAAACGTCGCCGTTTCGCGACGTGAGAATGCGGCTTCGGTTTGGGTTCGAGTTTTCCTTGTCGGAGGAGAAGCGGAAGCTGTCGGCGTCGAGGCCGGCCATGAGCTCCCACGAGTTGATCACCTCCGGGCCGGATCGGACGGGCTTGGGCGTGGGCGCGGGCGTGGACTTGGGCTCCAGAGATGGGCTTGGGGCTGTCGGGCCAACGGTGAACCGGAGAGGTGGGGTGGTCGGAGAAGGGCGATTTGACGGTGGTGGGTCGAGAGTGAGGAGGCCATAGGTGGAGGAGGTGAGCGAGACGATGTGGTGACTCAGTGCTGAGCTTCCGAGTTGAGTGAACTCGTCGTCGTGACCCAGCAGATTCGAAGAAACGCAACCCATTTTTTGGTGGTTTTTTTTTGGGGG